AAAAAAAAAAAAAAAAAAAAGAGAGAATCGAGACGTTCATCCTGCGTCTGACCGATATGTCAAAACTAAGCATAACTGGCGGAAACCCAGAGGTATTGACAACAGGTTTTGTAGTAGGTTCAAGGGCCAGATCTTGATGCCCAACATTATGGGAGCAACAACAACAACAACAAAAAAACAAAGCACATGCTACCCACTGGCTTCCGTTAAGTTCCTGGTCCACAATGCCAAGCAGCTAGAAGTGCTGCTTATGTGCAACAAATCTTACGTGCTGAGATCGCTCACAGTGTTTCCTCCAAGAACCGCAAGGCCATCATGGAAAGAGCTGCCCAGCTGGCCATCAGAGTCACCAACCCCAATGCCAGGCTGCGCAGCGAAGAAAATGAGTAGACAACTCCTGTGCACGTTTTGTGTTTAAAGAAAACTGTAAGCCAGGCGCGGTGGCTCACGCCTGTAATCCCAGCACTTTGGGAGGGTGAGGGGGGTGGATCACCTGAGGTCGGGTGTTCGAAACCAGCCAGACCAACATGGTGAAATCTCGTGTCTACTAAAAATACAAAAATTAGCCCAGGTGTGGTGGCGCACATCTGTAGTAGCAGCTGCTTGGGTGGCTGAGGTATGACAATAGCCTGAACCCAGGAGGTGAAGGCTGCAGTGAGCTGTGACCATGCCTGAGCCCAGGAGGTGAAGGCTGCAGTGAGCTGTGACCATGCCTGAGCCCAGGAGGTGAAGGCTGCAGTGAGCTGTGATCATGCCACTGTACTCCAGCCTGGGTGACAGTACAGCCTTGTCTCCAAAAAACAAAAACAAAAACAAAAAAAAGTCATCAAATTGTACTCTAAAAAAGTGAATTACGTGATATGCAAAATGTGCCCCAAAAAAGTTGTTTTAAATGTGAAATATATTGCTCAGAGTTCTCCAGAGAAACAGAACCAAATAGGATGTGTGTGTGTATGTATTTATTTATTATAAGCAATCAGCTCATATTATATGGAGGCTGAGAAGTCCCAAGATCTGCAATTAGCAAGCTGGAGATTTAGGAGAACGGATATGTAGTTCCGGACTGAAAGCCAGCCAGCTCAAGGTCCAAAAAGAGTCAATGTTTCAGTCTGAGTCAGAAGGCCAGGAAAGACTGTCTCTGCTTAGGCAGTTAGGCAGGAGGAGTTGCTTTTACTCAGCCTTTTTGTTTTATTCATGTCTTCAGTGATTGGAAGAGGCTCACCCATGTTACAAGGGCAATCTGCTTTACTCAATCTACCACTAATTCAAATGTTATTTAATTAATTCTCAATCTAATTCACTCGTTAATCTCATCTAGAAACACCCTCACAGACACACCAGAATAATTTTTTTGTTTGTTTTTCTTTAGACAGGGTCTCATTTTGTCACCCAGGCAAAGTACAGTGATCTCACCCAGGAGTACAGTGATGCCATCATAGCTCAGTGTAGCCTCGAACTCCTGGGCTCTAGGGATCCTCCCACCTCAATCTTCTGAGTAGCTGGGACTACAGGTGTGTGCCACCATACTCAGCTATTTTTGTTGTTGTTGTTAATTGTTTGTAGAGACTGGGTCTTGCTATGATGCCCAGACTGGTCTCAAACTCCTGGCTTCAAGCGATCCTCCCACCTTGGCCTCCCAAGGTGCTGGGATTACAAGTGCAAGCTACTGTGCCTGACCTCCAGATTAATGTTCACCAGATGTCTGGGCCCTCCATGGCTCAGCCAGGTTGACACATAATATTAACCATTACAACAAGTCCACCCCTAGTCAGCTTGGCACCCATATACATCTCCTTAAACCATATTTAATTTCCAGATAAAAAAATAATAGGTCATAATTCTGCCTAACATAATACAATTATTCTGCGTATAATCAAAAAACACACTAATGGCCTGGGCATAGTGGCTCATGCCTGTAATCCCAGCACTTTGGGAGGCTGAGGCGGGTGGATCACGAGGTCAGGAGATTGAGACCATCCTGGCCAACATGGTGAAAACCCGTCTCTACTAAAAATACAAAAATAAGCTGGGCATCGTGGCGCACACCTGTAGTTCCAGCTACTCAGGAGGCTGAGGCAGAAGAATTGCTTGAACCTGGAAGGCAGAGGTTGCAGTGAGCTGAGATCGTGCCACTGCACTCCAGCCTGGCAACAGAGCAAGACTGCGTCTCAAAAAAATAATAAATAAGGCCGGGTGTGGTGGCTCACACCTGTAATCCAAGCACTTTGGAGGCCAAGGTGGGCAGATCACCTGAGTTTGGGAGTTCAAGACCAGCCTGACCAACATGGTGAAACCCCGTCTTTAAAAAATAATAAAATAAATAATAATAATAAAAAATAACAAAAAGAGATAAGAAAACAAAGATATTTGCTTGATATATATACACATAAACATATTAATAAAACAAGAGGAAATGCTCATGACAATCATAGTACTAGGTTCTGTGGTCATAGCTGATCTTAATAACTACCTCTTTCTACTACCAACCTGTATTCCCTCTGCCTTCAGCAAGCACATTAACAGGTGTTTCCCTGTTTCTTTATCTGGTGGAGTGACCCAAAGCTTCATTCCTGAAGGGTCCGGGGCTTTAGTAGTCCTGGATTGATTTGTTGTAGTTTTCCATTGACCTTAATCATAGGTCACAGTAATACTAAGATGACTTAAGGAATCTCCTGTATTTTTGACACCTCATACTTACCTCCATTGTGAAGTAATATTCCAATTTTTCTTTTTCTTTTTTTCTTTCTTTTTTTTTTTTTTTTTTTTTTTTT